TCAATCGTGAGCCCAAACCTAAGCAATTTACTCTCTGCTACTTACTCCTCACTATATTCCGCCCTACTTACTCTCTGGGAGAGGCTAGGTCTTGAATACTGGGTGAAACATACCGATGGCGCTTGAGAAGCAACTCCTGTTGCAAGCTCCCATTTCTCAAAAGATGAGAGTTGTTTGATATATTTGTCCTAAAGGAACAACAAAACACAAAACTGATTCGTCTAAGTAGAAATGATGCGCTAGTGACACTGTTATAGACTTCAATGACAATCCCAGAGTAATGATACTAGGTGATGATAATAGAGCACAGTTAAAGGGATGTGTGTGTGTGTGTGTGTGTGTGTGTGTGTGTGTGTGTGTTTAACATAAAAATTTCTAAACATACACCAAAGTAGAAAAAAATAGTATAATAAATTCCAAGATATCCTTCACCTGGCTTCAACAATTAGCAACACTTTTCTTTTTCATTTATTCTCCAACTTTTTTCCTAGAGTTTTTTAAAAGCAAATCCCACATTATTCTTTACATTTTGAAATTACCAAAGACATTATACTCTTAGCCTAACTCTGGAGGCCTTAATTCTATGTATCCCACAAAGAAGCTAGCTTGACAAGCTTCAGTCCCAATCTTATGTAATACAGTCCTCCTACTGTATTCTGCTCTACCTGTTCTCTAAGGGAGGCTTGGTCCTGGATTTTATTAATAGGTATAACATACTGATGATATTCCAGAGGCAATTCCTCTCACACTCTCTCATCTCTCATAAAAGATGAGGGCTGCTTGAGAAATATGCTCCAAAGGAACAGAGAAAACAAATTCTCTAACCAGGGCAATATGCTAATCATAACATTGTAAACTTTAGTGAGAACTCCAAAGAAATGATACCAGGTAAAAATATCCTGATATCTTTTGATATGAGTGAGGACGCTAAACTTTTAGTTCAATTTTGTAGACCTTAATTCTTAATTCCAAACTATGGACAGAATAGTTGGATGAACTCAGCAAATCTTAAATAATTTAGAATCTGATACTTCTTCCTACATTGTTGATGTAGGGACAGTATGCTTGTGGTAATACTGTGTGCTTCACCAAGAGTTGAAGAACAATCTTGGTAAATTAAAACAGTCTAATTCTAGAATAAGACACGAATGTCACATATCAACCTTTGAAATGACTAAACTGATTTAATACAGTTCACTAGACCAGGGTCTTTTGCACTATGAGGTGCAAGGTAGAACAGAAAAAAAGGAGGAGAGACCAATAGGAACTGTCTATGCCCATTCTTTCTGAAGCAGGGCTTCTGTTCTAATGGGATTTAGGACTATCTTCCCACTAATGTGGGAAGGAATAAAAGATACTATATTCTTAAGTTAGCTCCAAAGTCCCTGATTCTATATTTCAAATTACCAGCTATTGAGAATTTATAAAACCCAGGTACTTTATTTCCTATATCTTTATCTCCGTTTTTATTCTGCTTCACCTGATCTCTGATGAGGTCCTGGTCCTGGGGTTTAGGAGGCACATACTGATAACCCACCAGAGAAAAGTCATCTCTCCCTTTCTCCTCTGTCATATCAGAATATGGCTCCTTAAAGTGTACTTTCTAAAGAGAAAAAAAGACAAATTATAAATTGTCCAGTAGAAGTAATACAATGGCAATAATATTCTAAGCTTTATTGAGAGCCATCAGGTAATTATTTAAAACCCAGGATAATATGAAACATAACAGAATAAAACAGAAAATGATTATTTTTTGTGAGTTCTGAAGTTTAGGGGAGAAAAATCTTTGCAAGCTTCACACTAAACCCTAAACAATTCAGTTCCTGCTGGTTTCAGTCCTTTTTCTGTTCTACCTTGCCCCCGATGGAGACCTGACGATGCCTGCATAGAAGATCCCGACGGACATCCAGAGGAAGTGCCTCTCTTCCTATCAAAATTGATGTTGGCTGCTTCAAATTTGCTTTCTAAAAAAGAACAGACACAAAATATCAATTGTTCAGTTAAGAATGACAGGTTAACTAAGACTTCAGGTTTTAGTGATAATTCTGGAGTTAATGGAGGTCAGAGTATAACTGATCATCTTATGGAACAAAACAAAAAACTATATTCCACAAAAGTGGAACCATAACCCTAAGTAATTTACTTCCTGCCTTTCTTCTTCTTTTTGGTCTAACTGATCTCTGGTGGAAGACTGGCCTCGGAACCTGTGTAAAAGGTACTGTTGGGTACTTGTAGGCCACTCCTCTTTCCATCTTTCAGCTGTCAAAGTAGATTCCGGCTGCCAGAAATATTTTTCCTAATGAAGATTAAAAAGAAAAAAGTAAGTTGTTCAGAAAAAAGTAATATGCTACTGCTAATACTTTAACACTTAGTAAGAACCCTGGAGTTCTGAAAACTTAATCAGGAAACTATTTTTCCAACTATGGATCTCCAAATCAGCTACAATATACAGGCATATTTCATTTTATTGTGCTTCACTTTATTGCTCATTACAGATACTATGCTTTTTACAAATTGAAGATTTGTGCAATGCTATATTAAGCAAGTCTATTGGTGCCATTTTTCCAACACGTGCTAACTTCATGTCTCTGTGTTACATTTTGGTAATTCTTGCAATATTTCAAATTTTTTCATTATTATTATATCTGTTATGGTGATCTGTGATCAGTGATCTTTGATGTTACCATTCTAATTGTTTTGGGGTACCACAAACCATGCTAATATAATACAGTGAACTTAATTGATAAATGTTATATGTATCCTGATTGCTCCACCACCTGGTCAACCCCCCAACCCACCCTAATCCCTGAGATACAATATTGAAATTAGGCCAGTTAATAACACTACAGTGGCTGCTAAGTGTTCAAGTGAAAGAAAGAGCCACATGTCTCTCACCTCAAATCAAAAGCTAGAAATGGTTAAGCTCAGTGAGGGAGGCATGTCAAAAGCTGAGACAGACTGAAAGCCAGGCCTCTTGAGCCAAATAGTTAGCCAAGCTGTGAATGCAAAAGAAAAGTTCTTAAAGGAAATTTAAAGTGCTACTCCAGTGAACACATGAATAAGAAAGTGAAACAGCCTTGTTGCTGATATGGAGAAAGTATGAGTGGTCTGGATTAGAGATCAAACCAGCCACAACATTCCCTTGAGCCAACTCCTAATTCAGAGCAAAGCCCTAACTCTCTTCAAGCCTACGAAGGCTGAGAAAGGTGAGAAAGCTAAAGAAAAGTCTGAAGCTAGCAGAGGTCGGTTCATTAGGTTTAAGGAAAGAAGCCATCTCTATAATACAAAAGTGCAAGGTGAAGCAGCAAGTGCCGATATAGAAGCTGTAGCAAGTTATCCAAAGACCTAGCTAAGATCACTAATGAAGGTGACTACACTAAACAGATTTTCAATGAAAACAAAACAGCCTTATATCGAAAGAAGATGCCACCTAGGACTTTGATAACTAGAGAGGAAAATAATCAACATCTGGCTTCAAAGCTTCAAAGGACAGACTGACTTTCTTCTTAGGGACTAATGTAGCTGGTGACTTTCAGTTGGAGTGCACATTTACCATTCCAAAAATCCTAGGGCCCTTAAGAGTGATGCTAAATCTGCTCTGCCTACGTTCTATGAATGGAACAAAGCCTGGATAATAGCACATCTGTTTACAGCACGGTTTACAGAATATTTTAAGCCCACTGCTGAGATCTACTGCTCAGAAAAGATTCCTTTCAAAATATTACTGCTCATAGACAATGCACCTGGATACCCCAGAACTCTGATGGAGACATACAAGGAAATCAATGCTGTTGTCATGCCTGCTAACACAGCATCCATTCTGCAGCCCATGGATCAAGGAGTACTTTTGACTTTCAAGTCTTATTATTTAAGAAATATATTTTGATGGCTACATCTGCCATGGATAATGATTCTCCTAATGGATCTGGGAGATCCATTGTAAAAGTAAATTGAAAACCTTCTAGAAAGGATTCACCATTTTACCTGCCATTAAGAACATTTGTGATTCATGGAAGGAAGCCAAAATATCAACATTAAGAGGAGTTTAGAAGAAGTTGATTTGAACTGTCATGAATTACTTTGAGGGGTTCAAGACTTCAGAGGAGGAAGTCACTACAGATGTGGCGGAAATAGCAAGAAAACTAGAATTAGAAGTGGAGCCTGAAGATGTGACTGAATTGCTTGCAATCTCATGATCAAATTTAGCAGATGAAGAGTTACTTCTTGTGATGATGAAAGAAAGTGGTTTCTTGAGATGGAAACTACTCTTGATGAAGATGTTGTGAACATTGTTCAAATGACAACAAAGGATTTACAATATTATATAAACTTAGTTAATAAAGCAGTAGCAGGCTTTGAGAGAATTGACTCCAATTTAGAAAGAAGTTCAACTGAGGGTAAAATGCTATCAAACATCATCACACGCTACAGAGAAATCTTCCACAAATGGAAGAGTCAATTGATATGGCAAACTTCATTATTGTTTTATTTTTAAAAATTG